GCGCCCCCCGCACCCCCGCTCTGCACCACAACAGTCTCCAGTGACAGAAGACACTAATCATCTACACCTTCCATTGTACCTCAAGACCATTTATACTTTTATTTTTTTATTATAACTTTTACATGTACGCAACGAAGCATAACACTAAAAATGATGATTAACATCATTTTTTCTGCTGCGAGGAGCAAATGAAAACTAATGAACCTAACATATTACAAGTATGTAGTAGATAAAAATACGATTCTCTCAACAATTTGCGTCTGGACAATTTTATGCATCAATTAAGCAAAGGTTATCAGTCGATTCGTTCGTAGAGATTCAAGTCACATCCATTTGTGAAGATCGGTGCAAGGTTATGTTTAGTGCTTAATGCAAGTCATACTGAAGCGGGGGCCTGCCGCCCCACATTACACGGTACTTTTGCATTAAACAAATGTGTCATAGTAATATTACAAATATAAATGCGAAAGTTTAGATAGCTGGATAGATGTTAGAGTTTGTAGCCTAAACTACTGAACGTATTTCGGATGAAGTATGGTATAGACGAGTAGAAGTTAGTCTGGAAGAAAACATAGGCTTCTCAGTTGTTATTTTCTTCATTCCACGGATGGAACCGCAGGCGAAAGCTAGTGTATAATGAAATTAAGAAAAAACTAGAATAGAACAGTATTTGAAGACAATATATATATGTACACCGCCGAGGGGCGCCACTACTTCCTTTTCTTTACTTAACCGTTGTCGTTGTTAACTCTTAACATTATTAAAATTCATTACCGAAATTGTAAATATCGTCATTACATGCAAGTAAGCTATCAAAAGAAATTTTATTTTCAATCCAAACAAATGCCTACATCCTACGCCACAAAATAGTGTGAGTTTTTTATATTATTATATAAGTATAGATAATATGTTACCTCAGAGGCAGAGTTATTGTACAGCACTACAGTGAAGTTGTTAGCGGGCACGGGGCCCATCGCCCACATCACCGTCACATAATCACTGCAAATGACACACATTTACACAATTAAACCATTGCTACGTTCTAACTCAATACAGCACTGTGTCACACTGTCTCACAACACAAGCTATGTTTTATTACAATGTTGCAAAAGAGCAAACGGACATCTGAATTTGCAAGAACAGCAAAGCAAAAGCATCTGCAAATGCAGATGTTTATAGGCATTGTCTACCTTTACTCAAAGGAGGGTCACAGAGAGAAGATTTTTCTTCTTCCTAGACATCCCTTCCTCTGTTAAATCTTAGCCGTCCAAAGTATGCTTAGTCATTCATTTCTAAGTGGCTGGGCCGGGGGCCATATTAAAAATATTATCATTAGTATTTATTACATGACTATGTAAAGAACCGACGTTTAATTTGTTTACTAATTAAACAAGAAACACTTAATACACTTCAACACTCACTCATCATATAATAACTTGGTGTGGGGTTTAGTTGTCTTCAGAGTAGTGATGTTTGTGAAGTTATTTGTTATGTATATCAACTGGTCATAGCTCGCGATTCTCCCCACGTCTTTATGAAGCTGGTTCTTAATGTGGTAGCACGCTTCGAATATTAAATCAACTATTGTTGACAAGCACACCTGAAAATATAATACATTATAATTAGACCACTGATTAGAACAAGCATTTGCTAGATTACACTGATTATTTAGCAGAGACCTTGAAATTAAATATACTGCAAATATGTCTAATCAATCATCTATTTATTGTTCAACATCTGAATGTATGAGTCACAATGTAGACCTCAAGATCATGTTTATACTTTAAAAAAAAATAATTGCTTAAGGATTATTAGCAAGCTGTATATGCATCACATTTTTATAAAGTGATACAATGTGGTGTTAGCCTAAAGGTAATTGATTTTGTGACAAGGTCTTGTCCTATAAAAAATCTACAAACTTTTAAAAAGAATAGAACAGAAATAACACATGCTATCATTTAAACTTACATGAGAACAATTTAAATTTATATTAGTATTTTCCTCAAAGCGAGAGTGAGGCTGAAACCTTTTATCATCAGTATAATTGTAATGTCTACATAGATCAGGCTTGCACGAGGTATTGTAACCGATGTGGAACTCCCAGGCAATTACGTTTGGGACTACTGCTGTGCACCATTGCAACACATATCGACCTCCGACGCCGTCGCGGGAAGGCTCCAAAGTCACATAGTTCCCACTTGGATTCGTGTCGTTGTTACATCGCACTGTATGTTCTGCATTAACATAATTTATAAGGATGCACGCTAAACACACTACGTACAACATAACGACTATTCAAGTCTTCTGTTAGCACGAACAGTTCACTGCCATAATTGAACCTTACAAGTTATCATACGATACAAAACGACGGGGTTATCTATACAAACAGGAAAACTCTAATATTATTGTTTCAATAACACATAATACGTAATCCTCAACCACTCAGTCCAAATTACAAGCTAAATTAGAAAGCATTTCATCACTATCAATTTAGCGCTTCAGTATTCCCAACAAGCGAGTTAAATCTTTTTTTCACAAACAATGAATAAAGAGGTTCATATGTTTCTTAAACATACAGTAGTAATATATACTAGGATAATCAACAAAACTAAGCTATAGAAATTTAACCTTGTCGAAAAAATAAATAAATATTTCAAAAACAACATAGAAAATAAAGATTAAAAATGTCAAATTGTGTGCCTATAGAGTAAGTAAAATGATGCGTGGTTCACACTTGGCCAGTACAGTTACTCAGTAGAACATTATCACTGTCCTAACATTCAACTGGCACAGTATGAACGCTAATTGGCACCAATATATCTATGTATACATTCTATGATTGGCCGTCGCAACTATCCAACTGTACTGGCCAAATGTGAATCGCGTTTAAGACATTATGGATAGGGAAATCAGCTCTGAACCGGCCTTAAAGTTCAGAAACGTCACGGACATATGTAAATAGACAGGCTGTAAATTGTGATACAACTATGTAAATTATGATATAACTACGATAAACTATGGTATTTTGTTTCTCTTTGAATTTCGCCATTTTGCACTGATGGTTCCGGTTAGTCTCGGTGAAGCGTTTTTAAACTATAAATAGTGATAGACTATAAAAAATGACTTTAATATCAAAAAGTCATGGAAGTACTACTAGAAAAGGAACTAGCTCTTGTCGAAAAATTGGAGGCGAGCGAGACCTCAATAACTGTCCCTTTTATCCCTATCTGGCGATGGTGACTACGTTGAAATACGTTTTAAGGACAATAATTATAAAAAATCTTGTTCTTGTTGCCTGACGCCAGCTGATTATTGTTCCAGATCGATTTTAACGTATAAGTGTTATCAATAATGTTTTTTACTAAAAACAGTACAAAATACTTAATTCTAAATCAGACATCGCTAAGTAAGTTCTGAAGTTCATGCGACAAACCTGGCTTATTCCTTAAATATAAAATCTGAAATTAAAACATAGTTATTTTATTAGAGACTAGCTATTCCCGTGCGGCTTCATCTGCATTCTTCATCTGCATCTTATGAGAATTTAATTTTATTGTTTACATTTGTCAAATAATCAATTCCAAATGTCAAATTGACATGACATGAGATCAAGGCATTGCAGTCATACTTCCTTGATGTTGACAGATTGTAGCTTATGGTCCCTTTCCCACATTGGGTTTTTTATCCAATTTATTTACCCCCTAAGTTTAATAGCGTAAAAATATATATTCTAAAGCGCGTCGTAAGTTAAGGGCTTTTTATTAAAGAAAGAATTATTAAAAAATATGCTGTAATTGCTGACATCCTCCGCCACAAATTAGTGTGTGTTCACGCTTTATTATATTAGTATATAAAGGAAGAAATATATGCATGAGTTTTTAAGTGGATTGTTCTTGAACTAGGACTGGATAGTCAGGTATGGTCACCGTAATTCTTCACTAACAAATTCATCATCAGTATAACACTCGCCTCGGCAAGCCTCCACGACACAAATTCTTTCCATTCTAACAGAAATTCTTCAAAAATACCACGAAATCAAAAAAGACACCGTCATTAATGTCCGAGTCGGGAAGTCATGTGGGGGTTGGCAGTTCAGATGACCGAATTTCAAACAAGTAAAAGAAAACCTATACGACAATCGCAAACCTTTCGTGTTAATAAGGTTTTACATGTAGCAACAAATAATATTGCTTCAACATGTCGGTAATAAATCATTATTAATATTTAGAAACATTTTGAAAGTAAATGTTTTCACTTCATTACATTACATCGATCGCCTAGTTTTCTACACACGACATGATCGATATCTGGCAACTCTAGGTTAGAAAGGGACACAGCGGACACAAGCAGTTCTTTCACTTGGTTTCAATTTTACTTTGCGTGCAACAAGACTCTTACGTCCTTAGCAAAAGGTTTCATTTTCTTTATTTTAACTGTAAGATGTAAAGATAGAACACATTCCTGTTGTACATAGTATTTATTACTTCCATGCAAAAAACACTTTTAAAAGGAATGAGACAAAAGCTGTCTCTTTTACCAATCTATTGTACATATCTATGAATCAAACAGATTTGAACCGTTGAGCTGTGGCTCAACAACTAATTCGGCTAAACTAAACTATGTGAGCTGGGAGCTGCCTGTTGACTCGCAGTTTGAAACTTTGTAATATCTTTCGTAACAGGTATACACACGGGACTTTGAATCATTTACATTTAATAACAATAACAAACTATATGTGTGGCTTTTAAATAAATGTGCCAGCTTATAAATCCAACATTAAAATAAAATGCTTTTTTAAAATCGAAGTTTTAAGTAAACAACAACAAATAATTACGGACTCCAGTTGATTGAAAACTAAATTGCTCGTAGGATATAACATTCAAGGAGTAACGATTTTTTTGAAAATGAAGAGTAAAGAAACAAAAAATTTAAATGCAATTTCATCTATAATTACATCTATTTAAATACATAGAATAATAAATAAAAGTAGTATTGGTTCCAGTCACACGGAGGATTGTTGCGCCATTATGGCGTAGAAGGCGAGCGTGACGAGCGCCAGGGCCGCGGCGTGCAGCGCGCGCAGCGCCAGCAGCGGCCACGCGGCCAGCGCCAGCAGCGCCGCCGCCGCGTCCTCCAGCAGCGCGCGGTACGGCGTGAGCGCGGCCAGCGCCAGCACGGGCGGCGCCAGCGCGCGCGGCAGGTCGCGGCGCGCGCACAGCCACACCAGCGCCGCGCTCGCCGCGTGCTGCAGCAGCGCCACGTTGGCCTCCGCGCACGAGCGCACGTGCCGCCAGTCGAACTCCGCGCCGCGCGCGCCCACCCACAGCGACACGCTGCGGCTCACCGCCACCTGCCCACACCACCCAACTCATCTTGCTAATATTATACAGGCCAAAGTTTAGATGGATGGCTGGATGTTTGTTAGAGTTTGTAGCTTAAACAACTGAATGGATCTAGATGAAATGTGGTGTAGATGTAGAGGATAATCGGAAAGAACACATAGGCTATTCACTTTTGTTTTTTTTTAATTCCGCAGGGATGAAGTCGCGAGCGAAAGCTAGTTTGCAATAATTTGTACATCTATATTAATGAAGCTGTCGCACACATGGATGCTACAAAATACAATTATTACTATCCCGTGTTTTTCTGTACTATGCTCTACATCATGGCATCCATATAGCTATTCTGGAGATACAGGATGGCTACAACAAAGCTCCATCCAAACATTCGCACTTATATTAGTAGTAAGTAGTAAGATACCAATGAATTTTTGATTTTTTAATCTATCTTTGTTTAAGATTTTATGTTTACCCAGTGTAAAAAATTATTTTATCCCTGCCAGAAAAAAGTATATGAATAATTAACTGTATATTACCTGTTTGTTTTTTCTGGTAAAAAATGAACCATGTACATGTACTTATTTTTTCTTAAATCATTTAGACTAGATTGTACCAATTACATATGCTTTATTTGTCTATGACTAGCTCATTTGTTGCATGTATATAATTGATGAAAAATAATAACTGACCTCTGCACTCGCCCAACCAATTGCAGTTGTTAGAATCTTTGCATGAGCTTTGCCCGGCACCGAGTTCAGAGCAAAATACATCCCAAACAAGTCTGCAAAGTCTACTGTAGCTTTCAGGAGCTCCTGAAAAATGTGTTTATTAAATTAATATATGGAGCAAAGACTTTGTAACCTTTTTAAGGAAATTGAACCAACAGATGAATGCCAAATAGGACATAGTTAATGGTCATGACGAGAACCACATATTTTTTTAACAGAGTATTATAGAAGTTGCCATAGACATGGTAAACATTAATTAATATTTTTCTAATTTAGAACAAAGGGTTACTACTACTAATAATAAACTAATACTAACTAATTTACATTTCACCTGAAATTAGGTCAACGAGTTAATTCTTTCATGTCTACTTGATAGATAGGACCACAATAGCATAAATACAGTAAAATCTTAGAATTAGTAAGAGAAACATTTTTACTTACAAGAAAAACATCATATTCTCCATTCATTTGACTATCAGAATCTGGGAAGAAAGTGGCGAGCACCAACATTTTACACAATTGTGTGAAAATATACAAAACCCCTGCATATACACATTTAGAAAACGAAGCATATTCTGATCTGAAATAAAATCACATCTTGTAAAAAGAGATATGTTATAGTGCAGTGCAAAACATTTACTTAAAAAAAGCTTACATCCCCGAAAACTTGTAAGCCATATGATATGGCGCATACACCAGCGCCAAACAGTTTCCAAAATGATAAAGAGTCATTTTGGATTTTTCTTTGCTATTGTGAATTTAAATCTAATATGTTAAATACTAATCTAATTAATGCTATTATCATTGATCACCACGAAGAATTCAACAATGCATGAAGGTATTGGGCACGGGAACGGGCAGCAAATCAGGTACTTGACATTTGTCCCTTGACAGTTAACAGTTCATTGACAGTGACAGAAACACTGCCAAGTAATGGGCCTGTATAAATGGATAGGTCTTTACCTAGTCTACGTGGAATTCACATTTATTGCTTTGTTCTAATTTAAATAAGTCTGTTGATGTAATGAAAGTAATATTATCGATATTGTTAGTTTCAATTCTCATCACCACCTTCAACAACGACCAGCAGCGCCAAGATGGCGAAAACCAAATAGGCATAAAATATTACTCACTAGCCTATCTCTTGGTAGAATTCAGTTTACGGTACAAATAAAAAATGAAGAAATTACAAGATAAAACATTAGAAAGGCGAATAATAGGCAATGTATTTGGAATTCGGTAGGACTTCACATCGATTGTATCTATTCAGTTTAATTATTTTGAGTTTATTTAAATAGACATCTTTGTACTTAAGTCGGTACGAAAATAAATGGCATTTTTTTTATTTTTTAACTTTTTATAACTATGAAAATAATAATTTGTAAAAGATTAATAAGACTGTGCAATGCGTAAAACGGAGCTGATATTTGATTTTGACATTTGACATATTAATCAATGTCACTTCAGCGCGGGAGAATTTATTGTGTTTGTAATACTTCGTTTTTAATCTTAATTTGGTATAATTTTTTTACTAACCAGCTTTTTTTAAATTTTAATATAAGTAAAATTTTTGCCTCTGTTAAACATTCAATTTTCATTGTTATTGTTAAGTTTATTTGTAAGAAATTAAAAAATGTAATTATTAAGTATATGATAAACAAACAAATGTTTGCTATCTAGTTGATTACGGAAATGTCTAATCGTCAATATCAATTTAACCGAAGTAACTTCACAATGGTGTAGATTATGTATCTATCTTTAAAAGCAATTAAAACATGTAGAATGACTTATAGTTTATTACCAACTATTATTTCAATTAAATATTTTGAAAGTTAATTCTAAGAATAAGTGTGGTTTTATTTCTGTCCTGTTATGTTCAATATAATTATTTCTTTAAATGGTTAACATATTTTCACAAGGGTCTCGCAGTCAATGAGGGGATGTAAAACATTGGGGTGTTTAAAAAAGGGGTGAGTTTTCTAACCCTTTCGTTTTTTAGCACAGGCGCAAAAGGGTTTGGGGTTTGTTATCCAATAGCAGGGCAGGTTCTTTGAGTTTTTGATTTTATTCGTCCGGAGAAGACCCGTTCCCCGCTCGGTGGGAGCCAACATCTCCGGCAGCGGCAGTGCCCTTTGCTATTTCACTGTAGTAACCTGTCTGCTTTATTCAAACAACTTTTTCTAACAGATGGATCAATTAAGGATATATTTCGATTTTAAGAAACGGTTTAGCAAATATTTTTGTACATTGTGTAAGAATAAGAATAGTGCTTTTGTGATGGTGTATTGGATTGCAATTTGTTGGATGTTATCTTATTGGTGAGTATTTGTCAGTTTGTAGTAATGTTCTATTTATTTTATAGCTTTGTTAATTACTTAGTCATGCATGAGCATGACTTTGAAAATATTTATGAGGAATTTAAAAACAGATCCGGAGACAAAGAGTTATCTGCATCCACTTTTATCATAACCACTATGCCTCAAAGTGATTTAAATATTATAACTAAAAATTAAGTGTATAAATAAAATAGGCATCTGTAAAATATTAACATATTCTGTCTTTGATTATATAGAAAATTAGCTGTTATTTGCGACTTCGTCCACGTGAAATTAAAAATTAAAAAAAAATATAGCTTATGTTTCTAAGCGATAACATAGCTTTTTATTTATGAAAGAATTTTTTAAATCTGCCTTGTAGTTTTTGAGTTGTTTCAATACATGCAAATTAAAATATCTTTCCGCTTGCGACTTCGCTCGCGAGAAATAAAAAATATAGGCTAGAGTACTAACTAATAGTTAGTACTATAGCCTTTATTTTTTAGCGTAGCTTTTTAATGGTGAAAGAATATTTGAAAATTTGTATGCATAATAAGTAATTCTCAAGAAATAAAAACATCGTCTCAGTAGTATTTTTACCTAAACCAGAATTGCAAACGACAAAATCTTTCGATTTACGAGATCTGTATGATTTTTTTTTATATAAAATAAGGTAGCAAACGAGCAAGCGGCTACGTGAATCCACCGAAATAGAAAGCGACCGCTGCCCATAAACATCCGCAATTGCAGATGCGTTGGCTACCCTTAATTGACGGAGGAGGAGACGCACATAAAGAGGACAATTCCCCTTCCTATGCGTCCCCTCCACCGTCAAATCCACTTTTCCTTCCCATCCTTTCCTCTTAAGAAAAGGGTGGTACGGGAAAGGGACTAAAATTAGGCCTCCGGCACCACACTCACCAGACGAAACGCGGAATTGCGTCCACTTCACGCCTGTTTTCTGTGTGGTCGTGGTATTACAACGGGCGAGCCGGCCCTACAGTGCGAAGATGTTAAAGCGGACTCTAACACTGTAAATGATTAGTCTACCTGATAGACCTAGTTTAAAAAATACAAATTATAAACCAAAAATACGTAATTTTTTTACATAATATGTGCCTTTAAAATAGTAGCTATGAAAAAAACATTTTCACAATCAAATAATTACACATTTCACCAAGTAGAAGTTAAATGGATTGTAAGGTGCTCACGCCGAGCGCCGACACATACCTAACTTGTCGTCCCGTGCTTTTATGTGTTTCAGCAGCGAATGTCCACTGTAGGCATAGGTAAAGATTGCGCCATGTGCTTAACAGACATGCAAACAAAATAACTTTATTGTTTTGATGTATGCTTAACCTCTGCAACCAATATAAAAGTTGCCTAAGGGATCAGTGGAACGAAAACCTACCATGTAGCTAAAGGCTCATTGCATTACATTGATTCAACGTATCGTATGAAGCAGAGACAATGGGACAGGTTTGCGACGTCGAGGACGTCGAGGACGCACGTCATCCCTCCATTACGGTATTGTTCTCTGACAAAGGAGACGGAGTATAAAGAATCGCAGCCATTAGGTAAATTTCCTTATTCATTTTTTTGCGTGACACCCTCGACGTGTAAAAAGCGGGGAGCCATTATTTATCATGTGGAGACGCGCGCCCAGAAGAGATCTCAATCTGGCGAAGGCGTGAGGGCTTTTTGCGCGCCCTAATCGATTGCGGGCGGTGCAGGTGCCCGCGCCCGCCGCCCGTCGCCCGCCGCCCGCCGCCCGCCGCCTCAAACGATTACATTACAAATTCCCGCCCCGATACTAAACTTACAACTAAACAATACCACTTTACAACATTTCCCTAAGATTAAATGGTGACATTTCAATAACAGTTTTATTTTCTTCAACCAAAAGGAATTTACGTAATATTATTGATTTCTGAATACTAACGTTCTTCAAACATGTAAACCTTACTATTATAAATGCGAAAGTTTAGATGGATGGATGTTTGTTAGAGTTTCTAGCCTATACGGCCTATATATAAACGGATCTCGGTGAAAATTGGCATATGGTAGACATAGAGGATAGTCTGGAAGAACACATAAGCTACTGATTTTAACTCCCCTTGGATGGAGTCGCGGACGATAACTATTAAAAATAAAAAAAAATGATTTGATCTATGTCTGTTACATAACGTTCCGTTCTGACAGTTCTAACTGGACAATCGAACTGTTCAGTTAATACCGTGCGTGTGTAGGCACCACTTTATACCTACAGTTCAACTGTCAGCTATTACCTACACACGCACGGTTCAAAACTGCAGCGGGCTTAATATAATAATAGAATCTTTCGAAGAATAGGTATACAGTAACTACGCATTGTAACTAATTAGCCTATCAAATAAAACTGGTACTTGATTTCCATTTTCTTTTACAATTTATGTTAAGTTTTTAGATTGAAATTGTTTTTCAAATAACAAAGAGGTAAATTGATTTGGGAGATCGATTACGTGTTATTGTTAAGAATAAGAAGTAGGATCGGCATGAGGTTTCGGAGAGCAGGCAGTCATTACGGAGTTATAGAAAAATAATTTCAATTTAGGGAGCGGGCAAGGACGGGGACGGCGGCGGCGGTGCGGGAGGCGGCGATGCATTATTCAGGACGCGTGCAGTGCGCGCCCGAGACGCCGCGCTCCGGGTCTTATCGGAAACGGCTTACGGTGACCCCATGCAAACTCCCTAATGTCACATTCCTCACGGACCTCCCCGGTCTCCGGCCGACCCTCCGCCGATCGATCTCGATGCAAAGTTGCTATTCCAATTCGAAGGGAGATTATAGTTTTGTTTATCACTAGAAATCATCGTATTGCCGTAAATAAAAATATTCTTAAAATAGATACTAGAAATATATTATAAAAGATTAGATATTTTGATTTAGTATATCAAATATTTATAGTTACTCTAATAAATATTCGATGATTATGTTACATTGTCACTGGTGTATACTAATTTGGGGGAAAAGTAACAGTATCTAACTACAGGGAAATTGTTTATAAGGGCAACAAATCAATATAATTTTCATCATCCCTAATGACCTTTAGTACATTTGACGTGACTTTATGAAATATGCCTGACCTCCAATAGAACAACAATACGAAATATTTAATAACGAAAGACAAATTACTGAGTACAAAATAAAAACAGTGTCTGTCTGTAGGTGCCGGCAGTCGGCACACACAATCCACCAGGATGTGTCGGCGTGGCTGAGCCGACGGCGATAACCAAGCTCCCCGCTGTCGGAATTCATTATATATTTATAGGTAAGACGGCGGCCTTACTGAATATTTGGTGGTTGATCAAAAAGTCCAATTCGGTTTTATATGCCACTGAATATTGAGCGGCGACCGGCCTTATAATACATATTTTGCAAGGATAGTTGCCGTAGTTTCCGGAGGGGGCCGGGGGTGGCTGAGGGTGGTCTATAACTTGTAGTTTGAGTAAATATTGCTTCGTAAAAATGAAAATAAACAACTTTAAACTTTCAAGATTCTCAGTATTTTCCATATTGATGCCAAACAAAACTATGTTTCCACTTTTTAA